GATGAGACGTGCCCTCGCGGAGGCCTCTCTACCTAGTAACTCTGAAGGCAGCTTCCAGCCAGCGGCTCCCGCGGCCCGGGGGAGGCGAGGGGCAGGCGGGTGCTCCCGCGGTGCCGAGCCCAGCTGGGCTCTTCGGGGGGTTGAGCCTTCCCTGCGGGGTGAGCCTCCAGCTGGGGCAGCTACAGCCGTAGCTGTTGTGGAATCCATTTTTTGAAGTATTTATCTTCTAAATAACATCAGTTCGTGACTAGTTCTGGTACTCCTGTGTCTGGAAGCTGCAGTCATTTGCTCTGAATATGATAAAAGAAACTACACACCATTTGATATTTTTTGTTGTCCCTGATGCGGGCCAATCTCTGGGAAATACAATGGGAGAGAGACAGATGCCACCTGTAAAAAGACATCTGAGGAACGGCAGTAGTTTATTTGATATGTTGTACCCTTGAACTTGGCATTGGTTAACAGAAGAACTGATGTTGTAGGAACATGATCGGTGTTTAAACTAGAGATCACCTTCACTGAATCTCTTGTGTACTGTTACTGGTAGGCTGAGCTCAGTGGTTCAGAACAGTAAGCTTTGGGAGCAAAATTGTTTCCTTGGCAGTCTGCTCTAGACACTGTAAGAAAGGAGGAACCTGAAGAAAATATTTGGGCTTTCTGCTGAGAGATTCATGTTTTCTAATCTGGTGATGTTTGTGACTGATCTGATTAATTTATTCCAGTTTGTGCCCTGCCTATTTCACTCTTAATGTTGATGGGAATTGGATGTATTTAACACATCACAATGAATTAAGTCAGTTGGTGGTCAGTGCAGCCAGTTTTGTTAAGGGAAGTTATAGTTGCAGTTCGTTATTTAAATTAAGGTAGCTTTACTGGTTTTAAGAATTTTAAACATGTTCTCTGCTACAATGATATCACCTATCTGTCTTAATACCAGTTCTTACAGAGTTCAGATATTCTCAGTGGAGCCCTTTCACCTTTAGAGCTGACAAAAATTTCTATGATGACTATGAAAAAACATTTTTTCATGACCAACGTACTTATAAATGAATGCTGTATGGTATGGCCACCTGTGAGGAAGTCCCAGTGACAATGTAGGTCTCATGAGGAGAACAAAACAAATACTTTTCTTCATGCTGTAATCATGGCACAAACAAAATATCACATAGTTTAGAGACCAGGGAGAGAATCTTGCTTCAGTTCTACCTGTGGAAGATGTCAAAAGAGAAGATACCACTTTTTCTTAGTGTGCTGTTCTGTTCCTTCTGATGGACTGTCTTGGTCCTGGTGATCAGTCAAGCGCATCATAGAAATATTATCCATATTAGCTGTGCCAGAAATTTGAATTGGGGTGCCTGAAATACCTGTACTTAATTAAGTTGAGTTTGCACTGCAGAAGTTTATTTTGCTCATGAAAATCTCAGGTTTTGTCAGAATTGCAGCAGGAAGCTATTGATTGAAGCTAAGAACATAGCAGGATTCAAAAAAGTTCCTGTAAATGTGCATAGATTAGAGCAACATCTGCTGTGATGATAGCTGACAGCTTTGAAAGGGGTGGCGTTTTAAATTGCATGGGGCTGAGCATGTGTTTGTGGGGTTGTTTGCTTGCTTGCTAACACAGTTTCCAAGGGTTGTGGGTCAGGATGATCTCCTGACCAAGGCATCATGAACAGTATCCCTGGAGTCCTTGCACTGAGTCTGTTGTTCCCTCTCAGACATTCACCCTGTGTTGCCCTTTAATACTTTTCTTAATTTATGTTTGTTCATTTCCTTAGATCCTCCTGAAAAATGATGTATGAGAGTTCTTTAGACTGTTAGCCATGTGTTTCCTTGAGTATTGCATGGAAACTCATCTCCTTTCAGAAATTTTTTACGTATTTGAACTCCTTTTAGACCCCAGGTAAAGGTTATACTTTTTTTCTGAGGGGAATATTGCTCAGGATAAAATATTCCACAGTCCTTATATACAATGAGCTTTTCTGTAAGACTGCATTGGATGTTCTTGCCTGTAGTGACTCTGAAGCATTGGTTCTAAGCTGTATAAAATCGAGTTTACAACCCTTCTGGTAATTTTCAGGAACAAAGGCTAGTGTAGAAATTAGAACAGTGTGAAAATTCGTTAGTTACTCTGACTTTAATGGTTGTAGAAATTACAGAGTAGTTTTTAGGTTTGCCCACTGAGAAGAACGTTGGTGGTGTGTTTGTTAACTTGAGTGGGTTTCAGGAGTAGGCAGAAATGTGACTTGCTGGAATTAAAGAAGCTGCTGAATCTACGGAGGAAAAAATTAAGTGAAGATGAAAGGAAATGTGAGGAGAATGGTGTTTCCTTTGGCTTCTTTTGTTTTCCTACAGCAGATGAGCTGTACACGAGACTCAGGGTATCCCTGGGTAGTTACCCCCGCTGTCCCTGGCACGCAGGCACTGCCAGCCCGTTTCCCTACAGTGCCTCCAGCCGTCTGTGGCTTCTGGTGACCGATTACCCCATCAGGGCTTCCTGGTCTTTGTGTTTGAGCATCTACTCCTCTCCTGCTGCTGAATCTCCCTATTCTGTTCTTGCAACTTCTTAGGTCACAGCAAACAGACCACACAATGAGGTTTATGGTCAAGTACAAGCAAATGTGTGAGTTATCGCACTGCTGGCATAAAGGAACATGTTCAGCCCTAATGTTTGGGCTATTACTCAAAGTAGAGCAATTTTCCTGTCAGTGCTTGAGAATATATGAAGTTGTTGTTTGTAAACTTGATTGAAGTAGCAAAGCAGCATGCCAGCGCATTTAAAGATGTACTGAGTACAGAATGGATTTTCAAGGATGGAGAAATTTGCTTTTTATAGTGCTGTTAATAATACTGTCAGGCTACATATTAGCTTATATTAGCAGGAGTATTATATAAAGGGCAACTACACAGATGAAAGGAACAAAGTTTTTTGTTTGCTGTCCTGTAGACAGGGCAAGAAGCAGTACATTTACTGATGGAAAGGAGATCTGGCATTCCTCAGGGCCGGGCTGGGACCGGCGCTGGGTAAGGTCTTTGCTGGGGACAGGGACAGTGGGATGGAGGCACCCTCAGCGAGTTCCCCCCGACACCGAGCCGAGTGTGCGGGGACACGCGGAGGGGAGGGATGGGCCATCCCGAGGGGCCTGGGCAGGCTGGGGAGGGGGCACGGGCAAACCCCATGGAGTTCAGCAAGGCCAAGGGCAAGGTCCTGCCCACGGGTCGGGGCGATGCCCAGCACAAACCCAGGCTGGGCCAGGAGGGGCTGGGGAGGGACTCTTGATCAGGGGGTAGGGATAGGATGAGGGATGATGGTTTTAAACTGACAGAGGGGAGATTTAGATGAGATCTGAGGCAGAAATTCTCCCCTGTGGGGGGGGTGAGGCCCTGGCACAGGCTGCCCAGAGAAGCTGTGGCTGCCCCCTCCCTGGAAGGGTTCAAGGCCAGGTTGGACGGGGCTTTGGGCAACCTGGGCTGGGGAAGGTGGCCCTGCCCGGGGCAGGGGGTGGGACTGGAGGGGCTTTAAGGTCCCTCCCAACCCAAACCAGTTGGGTTCCTATTATTCTGTGACATTAGGAAAAATATTATAAAAAACATGAAGCAGTGTAATGAGATGGCCTGTGAAAAACATGCAGTCTCCTTCAGTAGAGAAGTTTAGAAACAGTTAGGACAAACACCTGTCAGAAAAAAATGGGTATAATCATAAGGAAAAGAAGAGATCAGTAGTTTCTAATTTGGTGCCTTTCTATTGTTGCTGTTTGACTTCAGAAAAAACAAAAGTCTATAGACCATTTTGATGCTTGAGACAGGATGTCAGTTTGCAGCTTGCTTCCCTTTCCACCTAAAAAAATGCCTTAGCTTGCTCTGGCAATGTATTTAAGCACTGAAGTTGTTGTGTTGTGGTAACAATATATGATATTCTTAACCTTTTTCGGCCTGCGGGATAAAAAATGGATGACACCAATCTCAAATATATTAGTCTAAACCTTTAATGAATATTTCCAAGTATTTTGTATATTACCATATGTACACGTTCTCTGTCACTGAATACAACTATTGCAGAGTTCACAACTGTCTTGTGATCTTGAGATACTCTTGCTGAGTTTTTGAGGACCTTTGGGATAGAGTAGGGTATTATATACCTGACAAAAGCAGTTAGTGACTGCAGATGACTGACTGGGGAAAATAAGGAGCATCGGAAGTTAAATGGGGAGAAAGGGTGTACCATAATGATGCAACTAGGACTTTCTACAGCTGACTTTAAATAATAACCATTTTTATAATTAGAAGGCTTAAACCTGTTTTTCTTTGTTATTGCCTGAAGTTGACAATCCAGAAAGGTGGCTCTGCCAGTGATGACTGTTTTGTTGCTAAAATAAACCTGTGTGCCCCACTAATCTCTGTGAGTATACCCAGTTCCAAAGGCTCATCCTTCCCTTCCCAGTTATGAACAGTTTGCAGCCTTCAGGTAGTGGGATATAGCTGTCTGTGAGCAGATGTACCAGTGCAAGTTCTTTGGTTTGAAGAGAATTTATACATTCTTCCACTGTCTGTGATTCTGTGTGACCCATGTATTCAGCTTTGAATGTCTGGGCATCATCTTCATGTCCACACCTGCCACCCATTCAGATAAACTTCCTTACCTGGGCACAATGCTTCGTGTTGTAGAGTCAAATAATGTGGCTGAGGAGGGAAAGCTTGTGAATATGTGGAGTGGACATACTAAAATAGACTGCAACTGGTCTTATGCCTGAAGAAGGTAATATGTCGTCTAGGAGACCCTTCATAGGGAATGATATGTTTTATAAGGCTCTTTTCTGTTACTTCTGTACCACCAAAAAAGGCAGTAGATAAACAATTTACTTTATGAATTCAGAATCAGATCCTTAAAAATTTCTTCTGCAATAATGCTGATGACTTTAATTTCTGCTGTACATTTTCTAATATTTTTTTTCCTTTTATGAGTAGCATTTCATAACACTAATATATGATTTCTCTCCCCTGCCCCCCAGATTTCTTTCTTTGGATCAAAATCTTTTGGAAGAAGAAGTCCTGACAGTCCCATGTTGAGCAAAGCTGAATTTGTTGAGAAAGTTCGCCAGAGCAACCAGGCTTGCCATGATGGCGATTTTCATACTGCAATCGTGTTGTACAATGAGGCTCTGGGAGTTGATCCTCAGAACTGCATTCTCTACAGTAATCGTTCGGCAGCCTACATGAAAATCCAGCAGTATGACAAGGCCCTGGATGATGCCATCAAAGCACGACTTCTAAATCCCAAATGGCCAAAGGTAAGAAAGTTCATTTGTCCTCTGGGGAAGGAGTACCTCCTTTGGGATTGTTATTCACATATGGAACACCTAATGTAAACAAGTGCATATATTTCTGTACTAAAGTCTGGTTTTGCTAGAAGCTCCAGATAATAATATCTTTTGTGTTTAAAAGTTATCGGACTTGAATTTCCTGTTGGGTATTAAACTGTTTTCTGTGTAAATATACTTTTCCCCAAGGGGGGTGTGATGCTGTATTACTGTTTTGAACCAGCACGGTTTCTGGGTTGTGCAGACCAGACATCTCTCAGTGTTAAACGTAGTCAGCGTTCAGGAGCATCCAGGAGCGTTTTGTTGCAAAACTTCTTGAGAGGTAACATGGAGATACTTATTAGTGATGGAACAATAAGGTCTTTCAAATCAGTGTTCAGAGTGTTTATGTGTAATATATTTTGGATAAACATTTGAGGAAATGTGTATCAGCATTCTTAGTGAGATCTGACTGTGCAAGGAGACAGTCTGTAAAGGGTAAATGCTGTTGGTTGCATGTTCCTGCCCACTAACTGCAATTGATTGCTTCAGCGACTGACACCCCTTGGCTAGCCCAGGGCCAGCCCTTACATGCTAATCAATTCTAATAGCAGCTGCTCTAGATGCCATTTCTCCTGTCAATCCCTCACACAGTCTTACCAGCCGCTTTGGCTAAAGATGCAGTTTAAGAGTGGGTTCATCTCCCTGGTTCCTCTCCTCAGAAATTTTGGCAGGTCGCAAGCATGATGCTCTCCATCAGCTGCGTTCCAGACTACTGAAGTTGTTTCTTTTTATTTCAAAGCAGATCACTATAAATCTTGTATTCTGTTTTTCAGTTATTAGCTTCTAGAAAAGCCTTGTCATATGCTTCTTAAGACTGATAATTACTTTACCCTTACTCTAAGCACAAATCCAAACCCTGCTTGTTACAAGCTCCATGTGTTGCATACCTTTAAAATGCTGCCTGCTCTCCCTTTGTTCATCTGTCATGGCCTGTATCTTGTCTGGATATTTAGTAGTTCATTAACTAAAACCAGGAGTGTTAGCCTAGTGGCCAACTGCTTAGCAGTTACATTGCCAAACTCCCCATCAGTTCATTTGCTGTGCTGCAGTAAGTAGACACGCTGTTTTTTCAGGCCTCCATAGTATATTTCCATATGGCAAGTGGAAGCTGTTGCATAAAAAATATATATAAAATAGTGTTCCTTCCACTGAGAACACGGGATATTTTTGCTAGATACATGTATATGGTTTGAGGATTCAGTGCTGTGAAAACTTCTGTTCCTGCAGCTCCTGAGATGACATCTTGCTAACTGAGGTATGTGTCTGCTGCTTTCACCTCAGGAGGGGTGAAGGGGTTGCAACGTCTGAGTGCATTTGAGGGCAAAAGGTTGCTGGTATCTCTGCATCAGTACAGTCTGTGTGCACAGGGTCACTTTTGTCTCAGCCTTCAATCCTTGCAGGCTGTCGCAGCTAAGTCTCCTGGACTGTAGGCACGTCGTCCTCCGGCAATTCTCTTGGTCTCTCACGAGGAGAGAGAACATCCTGCAGGTATTTTAATTTGATGCATCGTTCTGAAAGAAAAGAGCCTGACTTTTCTTCTCCACCCAAGCCTCGGTCAAAATTTAGTATCTTAACTCTGGAGTCAAGGAACTGCAATTTTACACAAACTTTCTTACTCGAAGTTTCTCTCTTCAGTGAGACCAGAAAACTGCTTTAGAAGGTTGTTGCTGAAAGTGTTTTCTAAAGCTCTGTCCACTCATAGTCACAACAAGAAGACCATGGGCAGGGGAGATCCTTCCCTTTTTAATCCTGTTTTTGGGAGTTGCCATCTTGAATTGCAGCACTTTAATTTGTTGTTTTATATTCGCACTTAACTTTTGTACTTTCTTTTTCTTTTCACTTTTATACTGCTGTTTAATCTTTCTTAAAGAGCTTTAATGTGTTCTCCCTGTTATTTTTACTAAGCCTGTCTGCAATTTACTCTTTGAATCAGTCCATATTAGAGAGAAACTCCTGCTTTGGCAGGGAGATGATTTATAAGCTTGTAAGTTTTTAAATTTTTGTTTGCCTTTTTTGTTTTTTTGCCATTAACTTCTGTCTTGTATTACTAAATATAAAAGATTTTGCATAGATTTGTAGGAAGGACTGTGTTTAAAAAAAGGGGATTGAGTTACTGTCATTAAACTCTAGATTTCCAGGTCAGTTGTCTGAATGGAGGGAGTTAGAAAGTATAAAAGCAAGGGTGCTTTTGCTTGGTTTTGTATTCCGTTTCTAAGAAGTCTGGTAGGGATTTACTATAGAGCTCACTTAGATGACAAGATTTCATAAAAGAATACTTTCAAAATGCCAGTCACAGAAGTATAACAAAACCTTTGAAATGAATCATTGGAATAGATTTGTGGATCAAAATAGAAAATAAGATGGAATATAAGATTTACTAGCTCAAAGGCTGTCTGTGTTAAATGAAGGCATTATTATCAGTCTGTTAAATACAGAAATAATAGACTAATAGAATAGAATAGAATGTGGAATAGAACAACAAAAAACATTTTTAGTAATGAAAAATGAGACTTTTTTTCAGGTAGACTGTATTACTGAGTTAAAAACATGAAGTAACTCTGTTTTAATTCTAGTTCTGCTATTAAATGCCCACCTGACCTTGAGCAAGCTTTATTTTTTTGTTTATTCTTTTTTTTACAAGAAGGTAAGGAGTCACTTTTACAGGACATTTTGGACCTTATGGGTAGAAAAAGTAGTGGAAAACCTAAATGATGTTATGATATTTGACCTGAAGTGAAAAACGTTATAACAACTGCTGTTGTTATAAACTTGTGCCTTAAAGCAGTATAGACGTGGTTCATGATCCTTGCTGGTCCTGGGGCATTTTGTTAGATGACTTGTGTACTGATTCCACCACTTTTCTTTCTGTTCCAGCTCAGAGTTGGCTGGTTGTATCTGTTTAACCTTTCCCGTGGCCATCAGCCAATAAACGTCCTGCAGGTCCACTGCCAGCCGAACTTGAACCTTGGTCCATCCCTGATGGCAGAGCTCTGAGGTGGATTTGCCCCTCGTGCCTGACCAGTGGAACAGGAGCGTTCCCCCAGCGCAGGGCCAGCGAGCTGCCTTCTGCCTTGGAGCCCCCACCTCGTGGCTTTGACGCCAAGCTCTTAGCAGAGTGGAGGAATCAATCATATGAGTACAAGTAGTTAGAATTGTTGGGTTTAAGGCTAATGAGTTTTGCAAGGGTTATACAATCAAGTCCGCAATGGCAGCAGCTAGTGTTTCAGAGACTGTAATGAGATTTGACTTGAATCATCACACCGTCGAGCATCGTTTTCATGCGGAGGCTGTCTCAGCCATGCCCTCTGAGACAGGAGGTGTATTTCAAGTCTGATCTGCAATGAGATCTGATCTTTTATTGTCACGGTTCTCTTAAGCCTTTGTATGTAGAAACAGATTTTTGATTTCACTTGGACTGAAGGTACAGTAATGGCATAAACATGAAATTAATTTCCCTTCAAGGCCTTTCATTAGCTGGAGGTCAATAAGGTGTTGAACAGGAAATGATTTGCAGAGGTCAGAGTTGGGCTGCACTGTTGGCCTTCATTTACACAGTTGTGATAGAAGTCTCATAAAAATGGCTTGGCAGGGAATGTGTCTTGCCTTTCAGAAAGGAGCCGTCGTGCTACTACAGTAATTGAGATAATGAAAACCCAAAGCTGAGTGAAATGTTTTTTTTATCCTCTGTGTGTTGATTCTATCTGGAATTGTGATTTTCACACTCTTCCTGCATAGTACTTCCTTTTTGCTTTGAATTGTTGTTTCCCCACAAGTCAGCTGCAGTGACTTAGGTTTTAGAAGAAAACAAGAAATTTTGCCAGTCTCTGTTTGTCATTAATTTGGCTGCTGCACAGTGAGGGTGACTGTTGGCTTAAGACATCTGTATCTACAAACTGAGGCCAGTCGCTGCCACTACATCTTCACTGTGTCTCATGTGTTTGTGTTAGTTTGGTGAGGATGAGTTGCTTTAGCTGCACGTCCCATCCCAGGAGGAGCTCCCCATCAAATGTTCCTTCAGCCCTCTCCATCTTGTCTCCTCCATTGTGGATTTGTTAATTTCTCTTCATGTGCCCTTTCCTGTTCTTGGTGAGTGTCCATTTTTTCCTAGCCTTCCTGGTTCTCCAAATAATTTATTTAATAAATCAGCTTTTTTCTCTTAAATCTTTCTTTTGTCTATATATGACAATCAAGAGCATACTGGGAGCCAGAGTTAGTGAAAGTATCTGTCTTAAGATAGAGTTGGAATTGAATCTTATTTTTAGGATTTTTTTGGTATGGTTTTTATCCTGAATGTCATTAGAAAGTTTAATTCCTGACAATGCCATGATAGTTCTCAGCAGGATGTTTTGTAAGAGGACAACACTGTACAGCTATGCTGATGAGAACCCCATCAGTGATAAAAGGCTTGGTGAACAGGCTTAACATACCTACCGGTGACAGAACAGAGCTTACTGCTAAAATAAATTCTGCCTCTGCATTTGCAGTTATTTAAGTGTAACTAAATTGACAATTTCAATTGAGTTATTAGCTAGGATGAATGGAACTGAAATACTGAAGTCTCTTGGTGGTACTTTCCTGTTTAAAAATAATACATGTTAATTCTGTTTCCATAAAATATCAGCAAGGGCAGAGAAAGGGAAAGCTCATTTGAACGTCCAGTTAAAAGTCCAAGCCTATTAACTTGGAAAGACACAGCTGTTAGCTAAGCCCTACTAATTTTTGGAGCTGTGAACAGACAGTGAAATTCTTTCTGCTTTCAAGATACAATCTATAGCAACTGTCCTAGTGTGATTAACCTAAGTGAGTGCGTAAGATAAATGCTAATTACTTGTAATTGTTTTGCTGCTATGAGATGGATATTTATCTGCTTGTGGGGGATGGTGCATCTCTCTAGACTGAACTGTATTTTACAATATTTTTTTGGCATT